GGGCTGCAGGTGCCCTGTGGGCAGCCGCGGGGGGTTCGACAGATAGGGGGTCATAGTGTGCTGGCCGGAATACAATGCAAGCAACGCGACGGACCGGCAAGCGGATCGCCTAAAAGTTGCTCGCACTGTCTTTTCGCCCCACCCAAAGTCCAGTATCTCTTGCACACGTTTCTACATGCACTCAACCTCTCTCTCCCTCACACCATGATGACACACTTCAACACACGCATGCACCGTCACATATGCACAATTCGCGGCCCAAAGCACACGTGAACGCCCGAAAAACACGTGCACACGCATGCACGCCCCCCCCCTCCTCCCCTCAGGCAAGAGCGGCGGCCGCCTGCGCGGCGACGACGCCCTGGAGGAGGCGGTCACCTGCAGCGCCCACGACAGCCTGCTGTTCCTGGCGGCCAGCGGCAAGGCCTTCAGCGTGCGCGCGTGGCGCGTGCCGGAGGCGTCGCGGGCGGCGGCGGGGACGGCGATCGCGCAGGTGGGCGGGGGCGGGGCAAGGGGGGTTGGCGCTTGCACAGTCTGCGCAGTGTAATGATCAGCTGTAGGTGGGGTTCGCCTTTAGCCACATGCTCATACACACGCTTGCATACACATGCCCATACACATTTACATTAGCTTGTAAACGCTCATGCACACAAACGCTTGCACACACACACACACACACACACACACATACACACACACACACACACACACACACACGCGCGCGCGCACACACACACACACACACAACACACACACACCCCAGGTCCTGGGGCTGAGCAGCGCGGAGCGCTTCACGGCGATGCTGCCCGCCCCTCCTTCCTGGGACGGCGGCCGCCACCTGGTGATGGCCACCAGGGGAGGGGCGGTCAAGAGGACGCAGCTCTCCAGCTTCGCCAGCCTCAAGACCGGGAAGAGGAGGTCTGTGTGTGCGTGTGTGTGGGTGTGGGTGTGTGTGTGTGCGCGCGTGTGTGTGCGTGCGTGTGTGTGGCGTCCACGGGGCCCATGCAAACGTGAGGGCCGCTGTCCACCCCCTCCTGCGTGCCAAAGATCAAAAACACCTGCACTTTTCCCCTGCACCCACACCCACGCCGAAACCCTCAACCCACTCGACACCCCGCCCACCCAACCACCCGCCCCAACCGCCCCGCCTCGTCAGCTCTGGCGTTCTGGCCATCAACCTGGAGGAGGGTGACTCCCTGGTTTCCGCCGGGCTCTGCGAGAATGGGGGGGTCGTCCTGCTCACCTCCAGCAGCGGCAGGGTGGCCAACTTTGAGGTGGATGATGACACCTTCAGGTCCAAGGGCCGCGCGGCGGCGGCGAACAAGGTGATCTGAGTTCGAGATCTGGTCCTCGTGATCTAGGCAGGCCGCGGCCTGGCATGTTTGGAGGTGGCAGCTCCGCGCAGCGGTGGGAGGTAGTCGGACGGACATGATTCTGCGCGTTTGCGTCCTGACAACAGCACATGGAACATACACCGCTGCGCGGCAGGGGATGCGGCTCAAGCCCGGGGAGCAGGTCGTGTCGATGAGCATCCTTTTGCCGCAGCAGGCCGCGGCGGCGCGCTCGCAGCGCGCCGCGCTCGCTGCGGCCGGCGAGGACGAGGGGGAGGACGACGACGGCGATGATGTCACCGGCAGCGTGGAGCAGGAGGGGGGCGTGGACCCTGAGGAGGAGGGGCCTTGGCTGGTGGTCATCACATCCAAGGGCATCGGTGGGCGCCGCTTCCGGCCGAGCGTCGGCCAAACGAGGGCGTGCGCGTTTCTGCTGCCCGGAGGGGGGGGCGCTGGTGGGACCCGCTAAGAGATTTGGTGTGGGCATTGGGTTAACATCCCCACAGATCAGGCCTGCTCATGGGCTGCTTGTTTTCTGTCTGCAATCGTCCCTTTCTGTCACCCTCACACCCGATTCTCAAGCGCCTGACTGATCAACCGTCCCTCCTCCCCACCCAAACCCCCGCGGCATGCTGCCATTGCCCTTTCTACGCCTGTGGTCGCAGGCATGCACGCCCCCATCCCCCGCCCGGCCCCACCCCTCGC